CATGTGCCGTCACACCTGGCTAGGATTCCTCCTTTGTTTTTAAGTTTCACATCAATGAGAATGGAGTCTTTTTCATTTGTGGTGTCCCTGGAGCTGAAACAATGCACTGTCCTTTGCAGTTGTCAGGTAACTGCCATGTAGACAACCCAGCATGCTTGGCACTCCACATTCGTGAATTATATTTGCTTCCAATCCCTAATCTGATTGTTCCTTATTGTTTTATTTCATCTTGCCCTTTTATTTCAAATATATGTGTATTTATGGCGTGTGTATGTTTGTATGTGTGATGTATGTGCATGTGTGTGTGCAGGTGTGTGAAGACAAAGGCTGATTTCAAATGCGCTGTTCTGTTACTTTGCCCCTTTAGTTTCTTGAGACGTGGTCTCTCGTTGAACCTAGAGCCAGACTGGCCCCTGACAGTTTCAGCCATTCTCCTGTCTCTAACCCACAGCAATACAATTCTAGGCTGGTGCAGGACCACACCTCTTTGTATGAACTTAAACTTGACTGTGGAGCTATCAGTCTTATTCACTGGTCCATCTCCCTGGTCCTTTGTTTGTCTGCTTTAATGCATCTTGTGTTAACTTACATAACGATGATAAAGATTAGGAGGTAATCTCAGACATTGACATTTAGCCTGTGCTTGGCGCTTTCTCTCAGAGTATCTAGCATAGAGAGCAATGTGAGCTGACTTGAGTGGGTTTGCTCTGGCTGCTATGTTAAAGCTAACCAGGGCTGTATCACAGAGCACCCTGCTGTCACCCTCCAAATACACAGGCAGACAATCCTGCCTTTCCAAAACAAATGTGCTCAGCCCACTGAGCTTCACTTGATCCTGTTCATTTTAAGGAACGAAGATTGTACCTCCTTGTTTATTTTGTCTTTTGATATATATTGCTCGTGTGATGGATTGTGTCAGGTTGTGTCTGTTGGAACTGGGCTGTGTGGCCACAGGATAGTCAACACAGGGGCCCAGATGCCTTGAAGGACCGGGATAAGATGACAGACACTTTGCAGGCCCCCTTGCTGTCTCTTCTAAAGTACTTCACAACTTTATAACTTTTGGGGGAAGACTTTAATTCTTACAGAAGGTATAGATGTAAGACAGAGAAATAATCAAGAGTTTTCTGTTTCAGCAGGAGAAGATATAAGAGCGCTGCTTTCTATGCTTGGAGTGGCGCCGGGGGCTGCGTTGAATGAAGTTCCTGTGAGTTAGAATTGCAACTTTAAAGTTGCAATTAAGAGTGCTTGGGATTCATTTCTCCCCATTTTTTGTTTTTGTTTTTTTTTTTGGTGGGGGCAGGGAGAATTAGTACTGGAACTTGATTTGTAGACCAGACTGGCCTCAAAATCAGAGATTTGGTGTGGGCCACCATCACCTGGCTACAAGGAATTTCTGTATGTACCTTGATGTTGTTTTTTACAGAAACATGAACTCTAAAAGATGGATTGCTAGGTGTTGGTGGCACATGCTTTTAATTCTAGCACTTTGGAGGCAGAGGCAGGTGATCTCTGAAGTTCCAAGCCATTCTGATCTACAGAGCTAGTTCTAGGACAGCCAGAAAAAAACCCTGTCTCGAAAAACCAAAGAAACAACAACCAAAATATACAAAAAACCCATTACATTTTCTATATGAGAAAAATCAAAGTTTTCAGGTGGTTTTGTAAAAGTTCCTCATGGTATTGTAAGCACTGCTGTTTTATTTCTTTTATAATTGATGTAAGCTCTGAGAGTAAAGCATTATAGGGAAGATTCCAAACCCCTGCTGAGCCCTTCAGGGACACATTGGCACAGTCTGTTTTAATTAATGTTCAGGTTGTTGTCAGGCAGAAAGTTGCATTTGGGTATTTGTCTTATCCCTGTGCCTATAATTTCCGGCAGTCCTGGCCCAGTTATAAGATGCTTGGGACATACTTGGATGTCTCTTTCTTAAATTCTCCCAAAAGGTGACTGCTTTCTTCAGACTTGTCATTGTTTCTGGGATTCTGTTGTCTCTTTGGTTGCAGATCCTCTGTGTTCTTCAAAAACAACAACAAAATCCTGATCTGTGGTGCTATATTATGCATGATTTATTAAAGCTTGCCTGAGCACTCAGAAAGCAAAGTCAGCCACAAGCCATAGAAGCCAGACACACACCTTTAATCTCAGAAGCTAGGAAGTGATGGTACACACCTTTAATCCTAAAATTTAGGATTAAGAGATAGATGGATCTCTGTGAGTTCAAGGCCACCCAGGGATACACAAGATTGAATCATTCTAAAAGTGTAACAGATCACATGCCTTTAATCCCAGCACCAGAGGGACATAAAAGATATAAGCATGGTCTTCAGTGTGAAGTATTAAGGCATTCATTCTTCAGCCACACCAAAGATAGCAGCCACACCGAGAAGAGACAGCAGTCTGAAGCTTGGTGAGAGCTCATGGAGACAGAATCAGTCCTTTCATCATGAGCTAGAGGTGAGAGCTAGTGGCCATCTGCTTTGCTTTTCTTATCTTAAGCTTGAAGTTTGAACCCCGATATCAGTTTCTGGGTCTTTTCTTTTTCTTGTTACGCTGGTTTATGTTTCCTTTCCCTGTCACTACAGCCCATTCTTCCCACATGTGACTCAGAGTCTGTGGATGCTCATGGCATGCTGGAGGCCAGGAGGCAAGGGGAAGAGGAAGGAGGCAGGGAATGCCTACTGCCTTCTGTCTCTGGGGCCATCCTGAACTAGGCAGCACTCGCAGGAATCCAAAGATATCCGATTCTCATTTTTGAGACAAGGCAGGTCTTTATTTTTTCTTTGTAATTTTGTGACATTATGATATAATTATATCACCTCTCCCCTATTGCTCTGGCTCTTACAGTCTTTCTATCCTCTCTTCCTCAATGATCTTGGAGCCACAGGAGCAGGAGTTGTATTTTAGATGTAACATTTGGGACTTGGCTCCACAACTGTTTGTTGCAAACAGAAGTTTCCTTGATGATAGGTGAAAACTATCCTTGTCTGTGGGCATAAGGGTTAGCCTTGTCTAGAATTTATAATCTTCCTATCTCAGACTCCCAGGTAGTTGGAATTACAGGTTTATAGCACCAGACATCCATTAGATTTTCTGATTAGTATGTACTAATTGTCAAAGCTAACTAGATTGACTACTGGGCATGTGGTACCCAATTGTAATCCTAGAACTCAGGAGACAGAAGCAAAAGAATTAGGAGTTCAAGCCCAGGCACAGCTACTTGTTGAGCTCCATTGTATCCTGGGCTACATGAGATCCTTTTCCAAAACACCAAAACCAGACCAAACCAGAAGAAAACTACTACCATTTCTAACTGGAGTGGCAAAAAAACGTTTTTATGATATTTTCATATGTGCATATACTATATTTTGATCAGATTTACATCTGTATACCTTCTCGTCCTCCTGTTATGTCTGTCCTCTTCCTAAATAATACCGCTTCCACTTTCATGTGTGTGTGTGTGTGCATGCATGGACACATGCACCCGTGAGTGAGTGAGCACACACACACACACACACACACACACACACACACACACAATTTCCACACCATGTGCTATTTATCTTTCTAGCTTATTTACTTTAATAGGATGATCTTTGGTTCTAGTCATTCTTTGTGGCTGAATAGAGCTCCAGATCTAGCTGCTTCCCATGGGATATACTCACACACGTCCAATATGTCCAATTTCTACAGCCCATTAAGGTTAACTCCGTGTAATAAATGAATATATTGAAACAGCGTGAAGTTTATACTGCCACTGGTTTATCAATGTGGTACTTAAGAGTTAACCTGTGTTCTCTATGTGTTTTATACCTAACTGGGCTATTTATAACTGATATATTTGTAAGCCACTTACAAGGAGTAAGTGCCCTGAGTTTTTGTTAAAGAAATACACAGATAACACCATCATTCCACTGCTTCATTGCCTCCTCCTACACAAGCACCACTGGGGCTTTTTATTTGAAGACTGCCAGCTTTGAGGTAGAAGCTGGAGGACAGCGTAGGAACCTCTGAGACTTGCCAGTGCCCCTGTCCACTAGTCTACTCTGGGAAAACAGACTGAATGTCTTCATCTCACATGAACGTATGATCCCCCAGTTAGAGACTTGACTAAAAAGGTGTCTTCATGCCAAGATGCACCAAGAAGTACCCTGGCAGATTAAGGAATCCATGCCCACTCCCGGGTTATGTCAGCCGTCTCAGTGATGCTTTCCTTTTGGCTGTACGGAGACAGCTGGCAGAAGCTGGATGGAGGAGAGCTGGGTTGCACAATACAAGCACCTACATCATTTAGATCTGTTCTGTGCGGACGCATCAGGAGCCCCTACCCACATGTAGCCACTGAGTGCTTTGGATGTGCTTAATTCATCCTGTTTTCAGTAAGACAAAAGCCTCAGGGAGGAAAAAAAGAACAGAATGCTTCACTCACAATGGTTTATATTAATGCTGAAATAACATGGTGTACATTGAGTGAAAATAGACTGTTAACATTTCTTCTTGTTTTATAGTTTTAGTGTTGTTTCTAGAAAATGTAAAATTATACATGTGGATTGTGTTATATTTCTGTTAGGCAATGCTGTCTTGCTGTCTAACAGAATATATTGTTCTGTTAGACTCCTTCACCTGTCCTATGTGCTCTAACCTGTTTTTAATTTAGCTATCTTGCCCAATTGCGTGTCTCCTCTTTTCTTTCAGGCTTAATTCATGCAACTATTGCATTCTGAGTTTTTGGTACTGTAGCAATACTATAAACATGCACTCCCTGTCATCCTAAGTCAAAGGCAAGCTAGCCGAGCTCTGTATCCATCCACACTCCTCTCTTCATGCTGTTTCTTTACTATGAGTTGCTCTTTTAGGGGAAGGGCTTGTTACCCCATTTGTCATCCCAGCCTTCTTCCTCAAATCTCAACAACCTGGCTCTTAGAAATTATGTTCGATAGCCTATTAAAAGTATTTCCCCCAAGACCACAAAGTTCTTAGGTTTCTTGCATTTTTTTACCTTGGCTGTGACATTTGTGTATCTCCTGGGAGTCGCTCCTCTTTGATCTTCAGTGTCTCCTCTTTTGTTTGTGACTGGGCCCTGGGAGTAAATCTCCAGAAACATCAGTGTGCTCGGAGCCAAGTATAAGTTCACGGGTGTCAGCTGCAAGTGCTGCCTGCCCCTCCCACTCCAGAGAATTCCACTTGAATTCCTTTGCTGTTTTCTCATCTGCTTCAAGGTCTGTGGAGCCTGTTTCTCCCTCCTTCCCATGCCCTCTTCTTGGTAGCTTCTCAATCTCCATGCCTGCAGCCAGAATGTTCTTCCTCCTTCTCATCTAAGGTCCACCTCACATATTCCCTGTCTCTTTCAGTCAACCCTTTGCCTCCTGGGTCAGTTTTCTTGTTTTAAAACAGCTGATAATGCTCTCGAGCTGTATCCAGAGTATTCTGGGGTCTCACTTTGGATTGCGGCTATCATGTTGCTTTGGAAATCAAACAAAACTTTACAAATCCGAGGTTGCCAGCGGTGACTTTGCAGCATTTGATGCCTTTTTTTTTTAAACACATTTGTTGGGACAGATTGTGCATGTGTGAGAAGTGACATCGGTAGCATACTGAATTCTTTCATATAAGAGCTTTTGGTCTCCTCAAAAATCTCAAGTTTCTAGAAGGTGAGAGCCATACCATATGTGATAGGAAGAAGATGATCTGGAAAACAAAATTCCCTTAGGTTTTATTGTTTAGTATCCCCTCTGGCCTGATACACTGCGCACAGTAACACATGTTTCATACAGGCCTTTCGGATTCCATTTAGGAGGTAAATTCACGTATCTCCAGCCGTTTTTGTTTTTCTAACTGAGATAAATTGTATGTAATGTGTTCAGGTTTTGATTTTTTTATTTTATGTCTTTCCTTGGTACATTGTGATCCCATGGGTGGGACACTTGTCTTTTGTCCTTTGTGTCTTTTCGTTGACACCTTCTTCCACATGGGAGGTGCTCCATGCATTCTCTGTTGGTGAGAAAGTCAAGTCTCAGCCTTTAGCGTTGACTTGAGCCCTGAAGAACAGCACTTGCTTGGGGCTTGCACCCCAGACAGGTTTCTTGATAGTTGAGTTTCTCTGTGCTACAGGACAGTTCTGCTTCTGATTGGTGCTGTCCTTTGGGTAGGGGAAGATACTGACAGCCTGTTCCTCCAGTAAGTAATAGACAGGGGTTGGGAATAAGAACATAGGGGACTCATGGGAATGTACAAACCAGTCTGTTTGGTAGAATGGAGTAATATGATAATAGTGGCTAAACTTAGTTGAACATTTAATTTATGCTAGACATTGTTTTAGATTCATTTTTTCTACAGTAGCTAATTTAGTTTTCATCAAAGTCCCAGAGACAGGGATTAATGACAGTAGGAAAACAGAAGAAGATATTGAAATAAAATGTCAGTGCTTACAGAGTGAATGAATAGTGGAGACATAAACAAAATCCAGGCTTTGGATCTCATTCCCTAATGCACAAATGCTAACCCACTTCTCTGTTTAAATATAGGCTGTGCTAAAACACACAATTCAGTTGTGTGTCTGTGTCTTTTCATTCGTTTCTAGAGCAGAATAATTGTTAGTAGTTGGGTCTGTTGTGTTTTTATGCTATGAAGGCTCTGGCCTATTTCTTTCAGGAAAACAGTTTTGTTATGTACGACATTCATTTGCTGTTTGCCTGCAATGTGTTAGGAGTTAATTATTTATAGTTCTTGCTGGAGCTGATGTGACATTTGCTTCCCTGAGTTTATAAAGAAATATTGGCTTACAGAAATCCACTGAAATGAAAGTGGTGAGACATTGACCCATGCTTTAGGCTTCATAGGTCAGCTACTGTCTAGTAGTCATGGGGTATATAGTGATGTTGAGTTCCTGTGTAAACCAGGCAAAACAGAAGTGTAAATGTGAACAAGCATGCCATTAACTTCAGGCCACTACCCTGGAAAAACAGTCTTGTCTGTTCTTATTTTTGCTCTTTTCATATAGTTTCTTGTCTACCAATCTAAGTTATTATAAATTTATTTATTTATCTGCTGAGCCATCTCACTGCTAAGTTATTTTGACTCAAGGAATACTGCTCAAACCATGAGATCAAGTTCATGGCAGAAATTATTTTGCAAGTACACTAGCTGTATTAATGGAAATACGAGCAGTGTGATGGCTAATCTTGGTTGTCGACTTCACACATCTGGGAAAAGAGAAGTATTTTAGTGAGGGTTTGTATTGCTGGGAGGAAACACCATGACCAAAAGCAAGTTTGAGAGGGAAGGGTTTATTTTGTCTTCACTTCTACATCACAGTCCATCATTGGAGGAAGTCAGGGCAGGAACTCAAGCAGAGCAGGAACCTGGAGGCGGGAACTGATACAGAGGTCATGGAGGTGCTAGTTACTGGCTTGCTCCTCATGGTTTGCTCCGCCTGCTTTCTTATAGAATCTAGGATCCCCAGTCCAGGAATGGCACCACCCGTAATAGGTCGGGCTCTCCCACATTAATCACTAATTAAGAAAATACCCTATATTTGGGTCTTTTGAAGGCATTTTCTCAATGGAGGTTCCCTCCTTTCATATTACCCTAGCTTGTGTCAAGTTAACATAAAACTGGCCAGGCCAGTAACCTCAATTGAAAAATTGTTTCTGTCAAACTGGCCTTTAGGCATGCCCAGGAGGCGTTTTCTTGGCTACTAATTGATGTAGAAGGACCAAGCACACTGTGAACAGCTTTATCCCTAGTGAGGTGGGCCTGGGCTATATAAAAAAATGTACTTCACCATGAGCCAAGGAGCAGGCTAGTAGCCAGAATTTCTCTCTGGTCCCTGATTCATTCATTTTCTGCCTTCACATTCATGCTTGAGTTTTCTTTGCATGATGGACTGAAACCTGTATAAGCTGAAGCAAGCTATTCCCTCCCTAGTTGTTGGTTTTTTGTTTTGTTTTGTTGTGTTTTGTTTTTGTCATGGTGTTTGTCATCGTAATAGAAAGCAAATCAGAATTTGCATTTCACCAAAAATGTATGACATAGATGGGGGAATGGAAAAAGTTAGGGAGTTCTATTTCCCCCTTTCTCTGCTCACAGAGTCAGTATCCAAGGTTGGTAGCTGTGGTGCAATTCAGCACTGGAGGGTAGCTGGTTTGCTTTTAACTAGAATCTCTTGCAGACTTTTCAGGAGTCAATGAGTTAGCTTTAAATGAAATATATAAGAGGTTCCAAAAAAGACTGATGGTACCGAATAAATGTCGAAGCCTATAAACACACAAGTGGTTTATTGTTTGGAAAGGGTGTGCAAGAGAAGCAGATTGTACATGAAGCCAGTAGGATCTGGGTAATGTAAAGTGAACCCATGAACAAGGAGGGGTGAGGACTAGAAGGCCCTGGGCGAAAGGACAGATGCCTTACACAGAGCCTCAGAAGCAGCTGGCAGTCCTGAGGGAGGAGACTCCCAGCGAGCAAGTTAGGCTGGGTACAAGTGCTAACAGGGAAGTTCCGTCCTTGCTGGAGCCAAAGGAATGACGTGTACCACTGGGTCCTTCAAGGTGACAAGAAGCCCACTCGGAAGAGAGACTGCAGATTTAAGTCACACCACGGAGTCTCTAGGATAAAGATGCTCACTGTTCTTTGCCTGTTCAGTTAACAGTGGATCCCACCTTCTGTCCTCCTGACATCATTGTAGATACCAGGAAAAAAAATCACTGCTTTTGTGAGACTTACATTCTTATTTGGGGAATAGACAATGGCCAGATGAGTAATCTTGTGGCCAGTCAGATCTTAGAGAAACATAAAGAGGGATTTCCAGGCTGTTGCCATTCTGTATATAACACCATTCCTCTGTATCTAGGTGCAGAGGTGACATTTGATCAAGCTCCCAAAAATGGCTTCAGTGAGCTACATTCCTCGTGGCAAGGAAGCTGAAGCAGTGAGCGTTCCATCAGTAGCATATATCAACTGAAGTTAGCATGTATCCTGCTGGTTGAAAATTTAGTTGCAGAAGGAGATAAATAACACGTGTGGGATAGAAAGTGAAAGAGCATGCTGGAATATGTGTGGATGCATAGATCTAAAGGGGATGCTAGGGAAAAAAAACTTTTTCCTCAATTTTTTGGAGGAACTATACCAAAGGAAACTGGGAACCACAGGTGTGTGACAGCTTGACTATCATGCGACCTCTGTAGGAGTTATTTCTGATATCATCTGGTGACAGTAGGATGGCGTCGTTTATTTCCACAGCAGATTATTGCATGCTGGGGTGTCGATAAACTCTCCTTCAGGCTTCATGTCTGGGATGCTTAATCCCAGTTCCTCTACTTGTAGCGCTAACATTTTATGCTTGTCTGTCTCTTGCAGCATTGTAGGAAACCAACCTCAGAGAGGCAGACAGGATGGCTAGCTCTGCCCGGGAGCATTTGCTTTTTGTGCGGCGTCGAAATCCACAGATGCGGTACACGCTGAGCCCGGAGAACCTCCAGAGCCTCGCAGCCCAGAGCTCAATGCCCGAGAACATGGCCCTACAGCGAGCCAACAGTGACACAGACCTGGTGACTTCTGAGAGCCGCTCCAGCCTGACTGCCAGCATGTACGAATACACCCTGGGACAAGCCCAGAACCTCATTATCTTCTGGGACATTAAGGAAGAGGTAGACCCCAGCGATTGGATTGGACTCTATCACATAGGTGAGTCAAAGCAAAGACGTACATGTGGCTCACCCTAAATTTTCACTCTGAATTTGAAACATTCTGTGTTTTCTGCTGGCATAAAAAGAAAAAAGTTTTTCAGACACAAATAGACAAAGAAGATTCTGGGAGCGTTCTTTCTTCCTCTGGAGGAGAGGCAAGTGTGGCTTATATGTATCCTGTGGTTCTATTTCCACCAAATTAAATGTCAAATTACGCAAGCACCATAGTATTTTCTTTACAGTTTCTCATTGCCCTTGAGACATAGTCATGTGTCTGTCAGAAAAAGGGAGGTTATTAGCAGTTGTGGGTTCTGTTAAGTTGATATAAAAAGAATGTGCTTTCTAAAGGTTGACATTCTCTTAAAACAATCTATATATAGTCTGGGATATCTTTTATGACAGGAAAATAGTTATCTACTTGTTTTGATAAAAACAGTCCCAGCTTTGTTTAGCCATATTCAGATCTGTTATTCATAGGTCAATGAGTGATGAATGAAACATCCCAGAAAAAAAAGTTAGTATTATTTGAATGCAAAACCAAGACTATCAATTAACCACAAATAAATTTTAAATCTAACACAAGAATAAAAATCTCATGTTACTCAAAATTGGAAGATTTTGTGACTGAATGAAGGAAATTACTTTAAAATTGACATCTGATACTGTTTGCAATGTAACTTACTGGTCAAGCATCCTTTCGGTTGCTGTTTAATGAACCAACAGGGAGAAGTAATGTGTTGACGGCCCTTATAGCTAGGGCTTCTTACACAGGGCTGACCTTACCCCTCCTGGAGGACACTGGGCAGTGTGGGGGAACAGTTTTGACTGCTGTATTTTTGTCTCTAGAGGGATGATGGTAAGAGGTACTCCACAGAGCTGCATGTACAGGAGAGCTCTGTCTTCCCTAAGAGTCATCTTGTTCCAAATATTAGTAGTGCCACTTTGAGAAACCTGGTTTAAGATGCACCTACATCCTTGCTGAAGTTTTGTTGGAACGTTAAACATACTGAAACTTTCATTCTTTGGGGACTGATTAATCATGCTGGATAGAAAAAAAAACTAAGATAGCAAAAATTTCTATGAATAAATAACTTTATCACCCCTTGTCATAACCAAAGGGGTTGTGGCAAAAGTCTTAAGTTGTATTTTTTTCTTGGGTATATTTAATTGTATAGTAAAAAATGAGTAAAGCATACAATTTAAAGTTCTTGTTCATATTATTCTGACCGTAAAAGAGCATGTAGTTTTTATAAGATGTCAGAGCTCCTTTGGGCTCCACAAAAATTCTGTGTTTACTTTCTTACAAAATTTTTCTTTTTTTCACTTTACATTTTATAACAAAAAACATGCAAATAGAATATGGTGATTTAAAATGTATGTTTCTTTGAAAAAATCATTAATTTTTACTTTCTCGTGTAAGATTAATTTTTATATATGTATGTAATAGTCTGTAAGATGCTACAATCCTGCTGGTATTAACTCCTATTATTTAATATTTTCTCATCCTTTCTTTTTGTTACTCTACTCAAACTGTTCTGTTTTCCTGTCTAATCAGAAAGAACTAAGGAATCAAAGCAAGGTGACCAAAGTCATAAGGTTTCAGTGTTTTTGTGTTTTACCTTTTAGAGGAAGGAGTCTGTATAAGAGTTACACTTCTTGCCGGGCGGTGGTGGCATGCGCCTTTAATCCCAGCACTGGGGAGGCAGAGGCAGGTGGATCTCTGTGAGTTCGAGGCTGGGCTGGACCGACAGCCTCCAAAACAATACAGAGAAACCCTGTCTCGTAAAAACCAAAAAAAACAACAAAAAAAAAAAAAACCAAAAAAAAAAAAAAAAGAGTTACACGTCTTGAATTAACCGATGACTAGAGTTAGGAAAGCAGGAATGGGAAGCAAATCTCTTATAGGTGTTAGCTCTTCTTCGAGAAGCTTCTATATGTACTCACATAAATCACTGCTGCTCGGAGCTGTTGTGTGTGCAGCATACTCCCCCGCCCCCAGTCCTGACGACTTTATATTTGCTCTTTATAGTGGTTTCCATCAGTGTGACTATGACACATCCAGATGTGATTTTCATTTTAGTTATCTTGGTTGGAACATATGAAGTTTATGTTAATGCTTTTGGCATTTTATCTTAATATTTCTAACTATTCTTGCTCTTTTCTGAGACCTAAATTATATTAGTTCACATTGTTTTCTGTAAGGTACTTGTGGTTTTGATCCATTTTTCATTGATCTATTTTCTTCATGATTTTCACATTTCATAATTTATTCTTATCCATCTTCCTCTTCCTCCTTTCTCTCTCTCTCTCTCTCTCTCTCTCTCTCTCTCTCTCTCTCTCTCTCACACACACACACACACACACACACACACACGCACGCACGCACGTTGGGAACAGCGTCTCGTGTGTGTCCCAGGGTAGCCTCAACTTACTGTGTAGCTGAGGATGATTTTGAACTCACAACCCTTCCCTTTCATCCTCACCTCCCAATGCTGAGATTATAGCAGTGGGCCACCACACAGGCTCTATTTATCTATCCTCAAGTTGATTATCTTTTTTTCTCTTTTCTTCTGTTGTTAGTCATGCTTGGTGGATTTGAAATTTTCAGATAGTTGACTTTTAACTTCTAGAATTTTCATTCAGATCTCTAGGCAGGACAGAGTAGCAAGCAGCAATCACCTCAAACCTCTCAAGGGTTGGGGCTAACACAGCCTAGGAAGTCCATTGAAATGCCAAGTGAGTAGCCTCAGGTATTTGGTATTCTTGCACACACTGTTAATCTTAGAGATCTTCTACAGTAAATGGTCGTAAAAGGCAAGGGTGCCAGGTCTGTGGCATTCAGTGTGATTTATTTCTGGAAGCCTCTGCTGTATTTGAAAGTGGGGAGGCAGTGATTTAATTTACCTGGGTCCTCAAACCAAGTGGACAGAGACCTGGCTTTACGCAGAGATAGTATTTCCTCCAGGGGTGGAAAGGACTCTTTCTCCCTTACTTCTGGGGGAGAATAGGCAAGGATAGGTGTCCCATTTGGAAAGGGATAGGAGGCATAACAGTGGACTTTAACTATACCATATCCTACTGTGCCCTGTATAGCCTGTTCAGTCTGTTTAATGCTGCTTGTGAGTATGCTTTCAGGGCTGATCATCGGTATTGGATAACCAATTGGCACAGTCCTCCTTGGAGAGACTATTTCTCCCATTCTCATCATTCCTTAGTTGCTTGTCATTCTTTCTGTAGGGTTGAAGTCTTATGGGCTTTCCTGCATCTATTGTTGTTCTTGTTCAGGTCGCATTTGGGTAGTCATGTCAGTGAGACTTTGTGGGCATAGCTTCTGATGTTGCTAGGGGACACAGTCTCATAGCAAACTCCCTGAACCTCTGGCTCTTAGGATCTTTCTGTCCCCTCTTCTGTAATGTTCCCTGGGACCAGGCTGGTGGGAAGAATGCATGTTACATGTGGTAGTCTCTATCTGTTTTGTAAAGAAGTTTCCTTGGTAGGGGGTGAGGACATCTGTGGGTATAAAAACAAATATTTACAATGCAGTTGGGCATTATGCTGATTTAGTAATTTGGTGGTTATAGCTTTGCCCCTATTATCCATGACTTCAATAATCCCTGGTAGTTGGTAGGTTTTCAGTAGAGATATGGTTTCCCTCTTGTTAAGAAGGTCTTATGTACAATTAGACAGCTGTTGGTTACAGCCAAAATATGCATGTCTACTATTGCACCTTCAGGGTTATCATGTCATGCTGACCATTGATGTGATTCAATGGGTAGGACAATTGTTGCTTCCCTCTTTGGAAGCTTATTTGGTGCCTTCTGGTACCATGAAAGCTAGCCTTTAGGGAGGAGGCTTTCAGGTCAGTTCCAGCTCAGGGACCTCTGGGTCCTGTGTCTGAAGTGCAGGGTATTGGCAATAGGGACTTACCTTCCACCTCTGAGAGGGGGGCTACCAAGGAAAATAGTCATAAATATTTTTGGAGCCTCTTGGACAATCCTGACTTTCTCAGTTATAGTTTCTATTACTATGAAGAGGCATCATGACTACTGTCATTATAAAGGAAAAACATTTAATTAGGGTGGTTTACATTTTCAGATGTTTAGTCCATTATTTTGGTGGGCCATGGTAGTGCACAGGCAGACATGGTGCTGGAGATGGGCTGAGAATCCTATGTCTTGATCAAGAAGTGGTCTGAATGTCACACCGAGTGAAGCTTAAGCAAAGGAGACCTCAAAGCCCACTCCCACAGTGACACACTTCCTCCAACAAGCCCACACCTACTTCATCAAGGCCACACTCCTAATAATATATTCGCTATGAGCTTATGGGGGTCAATTACATTCAAACTACCACACTGACCAACAACTCAAAAGAAGACTTTTAATGTTTAGTGTTGTGGTTTTTGTTAGATGGTCTTTGGAGGGAGCATTGTCAGCCCTGATTAGAAAATTTCGTTTAAACTATATGTGCATATTTATACGCAGTCATATGTAATATATATTTATTTTTAAGTAAATAGTTAACGGTATGATTCTTTATTGCTTTTTCAGACATCCTACTGTTATTTTACTCTCTTCCCCCCTTTTATTTCTCTCTCTCCTCCTCCCTAATTAGAGGCTCTCTCTTTTTCCCATTTCCCTAATCAGATCACTTGTACCCTGCTATTCTTCTCACTCCCTCTCTCCCTTTTTACTTTTCTGGTTTCTGTAGTTACTCCAAGATATGTACTTACAACTGAAGATTTGGAGACAGGAGCCTCCGATGAGTGAGAACATTTGTTTTTCTAGGTCTGGGTAACCTGACTTAATATGATCTTTTCCTATTCCATCCATTTACCTGCAGAGTTCATGATTTCATTTTTCCTTACAGCTAAATGATATTCAATAATTTAGTTGTACCACTGGTTGAAGGACATTTAGGTTGTTTCTATTTCCTAGCAATTGTGACTAGAGGACCAGGGATCATAACTGAGTAACTCTCTGTGAAGTAAGATGTCCT